TTTTTTTTTTGGTACCAGGGATTGAACTCAGGACCTTGCACTTTCGAGGCAGGCGGTGGAACCACTGAGCTAAATCCCCTGCTCTTAAGGGAGTAGTTTTTAAATGTGACAATTCATAACAATGGGTACTGAATGGCTGTGTCCTAAGCAGTTGTTGCAGAGAAACATTAGCACTTAATACAATTAATTTGGAAAAGTTTTTAAAACTAGGAGAAAGACTTTGAGGGATAGTAGGAAGCTGGCTTAATTGTAATAATTTATAAAGAGATATTCCCTGCAAAGGGGCTAAGTCAAGCTGAGAGCAGAGTATCTTTATTTGAACTTCAGATCAAACAGGAATATGAGAAGTGGTTGGGGCTTAGAGATCAGCTTTTTACAAAAATAAAAAGTAAGTTATAGGAAACAGGGAAATAGACTTTTTGGAAATGGGAAGGGGATCTAGGGATAGGAAGGGAAAGGAGAGGAAGCAAGAGTAAAAGAGATCAAGATACAGTATGTGTATGTATCAGTTCCCATTGATGACTGTATTTATTGTGTATCATAAACATACACTTAGAAAAAAGGGGAAGAAAAAAATTAAATTGACTTGCCAAAAGTTTCTAAATTTTACCACCTTTATTTCTTTCCTGCTTGATGGGAATTATTGGTAAGTAGAGATTTTGGGGAGACAGAAACTAAAAGAGGGAAGGTGGTATATTTTGAGCAGAGATCAAACTTCTATTTGGAAAAACCTGTGTTTGATTTCTGAAAATTTTTTTCATTAATGATACAATCTAGGGTTAGTTGCTTGACCTTTTTCTCACCTTAATTTGGTGATAATATACCCTATATAAGGTTACTGTGAGGATTAGTTTTAATGTAAGGAAGGCATCCCAGGGCCTGGCATATGACAGGCACCCAATAAATGATAGTTAATATATTCAAGAAAAATTAAAGTAGTATAGATAATGACATTTGAACTTTTTAGCCAATATATTATATAAAAATATATATAAAGTATGTGTTATGCTTCTGTCTACCTAGCAAGGAAATAGTTTTTTTCTGAATAAAAAGAAGATAACTATACAAAGTGTAGAGGAGAATGTATCTTTCCCTTCCCGTCTTTTCCAAGGGTCATAAATAACTATTGGTGTTTGGTGTAATTTCATTTTTGGTTGTTCACTTAATTTTTTTTTGGTACCAGAGATTGAACTCAGGACCTTGCGCTTGCAGGGCAGGCGGTGGCACTGAGCTACATCCCCGGCCCCACACTTACTTTAAAAGTCATAGGTTTGCCACAGCATCTATCTACCTATGATATGGTCACAGGTGCCTTTAAGTGTAATTTGGCCAGCATGATTTTTAGACTTCTTTGGGAAGGACTTGTACTCTCGTTTATTATAATTTATATTGGTTAAATATATTAATTTATATACAAACACTTATATACAATTAAGACAATGACTGGCCTATGTGGGAAATTCTGTGTAATTGTTTATACTTACCATTTATCACGCTTTTGCTGTATCCCTAGCCTCTTCATACCCAAATACATTTTGAGTCTTAACTCACCTGACTTTTGAAGGCTTTCTGAGATCTCTTACTCCTTTTTATCTCACCTTCCTAAAGGTGTTTCCCTCCCAGATGATGACCCAGAGGCTGGCCAGGGGAGCAAGTTTTGCCTGGTTGCCATTGGCAGATTGCAGGCAAGTGTGAATTTTCCACAACTGCATCTCTTCATTTAGAAGAAATCTCCCTTAGAACCTGTTCATGTTAATTTTCTTTTACTCTCTGAGTACAAATGAAAAATTCTGAACATTTGAGGAAATACAGTGTTCATTGTGAACATTGCTATTCTTTAATTTAGCAAAACTTGAAAAATATGAAAAGAAGGAAATCTTTTCCCTTATTGTTGTTGTTCGTAATGTGCTGCTGTGTTCAAGTGATCCTCCTTCTGTAGCCTCTTGAGTGTTGAGACTATAGGCTGTTCCAAGCCCTCCTTATATTTCTTATTTTTAGCTTTGTAATGCTGAATTTTCTATTTGTGGCTAACTTCCTTTTTTAACCCCCGGTACTAAGGATCCAAGGCCTTTACACCTGCTACATCCTCAGGCCTTTTCAAAAAAAAATTAATTAATAATTTGAGGTAGGATCTTGTTAAGTTGCCCAGGCTGGGCTCGAACTTGTGATCTTCTTGCTTCTGCTGCTCATTACAGAATGCAGCATCATCTTGTAATCTAGGACTGCTAGGATTAAAGGCATGCAGCATCATGTCCATCCAAAAAAAAAATCCCTTTTATTTTATCATTACATGACTAACAGTAGGCAAGTGGATTTTTTTTTTTTTGGTACTAGGGATCGAACTTGGGACCTTGTGCTTGTGAGGCAGGCGGTGGCACTACTGAGCTAAATCCCCAGCCCTAGTGGAATTATTTTGATTCTTCTCCTAAGCAGAGATATTTCTTGGTTACTTAGACCATAATTTTCATATGTAAATAAGAAGTATAGCCCAATCAGATAAAAGTAAGTAGGCTATGGGTTGAATTCATTTTTTGTTTACTAACTTGTTAAAGGGTACATAAATGGGAGCAGAGCTAGATTTTATCTAATTGAGATTGCTACTTTTTTCCTTTCAGGATGAGATGTGAAAGTTTAGAACTCCCCCCCCCCCCCCCCGCACCAGATATTAAACTCAGGACCTTGTGGTTGCAAGGCAGGCACGGTGCCACTGAACTAAATCCCTGGCCTAGAAATTCTTGAAACAGAGTCTCATGCTATAAAGATACCTATGAAAAGGTCTAAAATACATCTATAAAGAATTGTATCATTTTACCTCATTTTTATCTCTTCACTCTTAGGTAACTAGTTCTCCTAACTGTACAGACATGAGTAATGTTTGTCAGCCGACAGAGTTCATCTCCCGCCACAACATTGAGGGGATATTCACTTTTGTGGATCACCGTTGCGTGGCCACTGTTGGCTACCAGCCACAGGTGAGGAGCTGCAACTATTAGATCATCCACACTCAGACATCTGTTTTCCCTCACCAGTGTTGAGGTTACACAATCATGTAATTCCAGAGATAGCCAAAGCATGTTAGCTCTAGCTCAGAAGAAGAGATGGTCTTAGTAGCTAAATTTATTCTTCCTACCAAGGCCAGTATTTCCTTTAGAGAAATATGGTTTGTGAAACTGTGGGAGCAGAAGGCACAAATATGTATTCATTTTTGTTACTGTTAAGTGCTTATTTTTATTTATTTTTTTCTTCTTAAAATTGCCTATTAAATATATTTGCACATTATAAGAAAGCTTTTATGAGTAATCTCTTCACATAAGTGGGAAGGGTGTTTGCAGACCCATAGGAAATACACTTCCATGCCATATAACAGTGTTTCAGTCAACCACAGGTTGAATATACTATGGAGGTCCCATAGATTATTATGGAGCTCCAAAATCCTGTTGTCTACTGCCATTGTTGCCATTATAATGTTGAAGCATGATACATTACTCACATGTTTGTGGTGATACTAGTATGAACAAATCTATTGCCCTGCAAGTCCAATAAAAGAACAGTGCATACATACATGTACAGAACATATGACTTGATAACAATAAATCAAGTATTTCCTGTAACTTTTTATTTTTTAATTTTAAAGTACTTATTTGAATTGGTTATACTGACATGGTAAGCTAGAGGAGTAATAACCATCAGTTACAACTTAGGCACTTAACAGACCCATTAACTATCCCTGAATTGTCTTATTATATAAGCTTTCAAAACTCTCAGTGTGTTGGGGGTACTTGTGGCTGTGAATGTGTGAGATGAATGGTGAAAGAGAGATCTTGCAAATGAAGGATAGAGTTGGAGGACTTACACTACCTGACTGCACACTTGTTATAAAACTTGTTATCAAGGCAGTGTGCTGTTAGTGTAAGGATAGGTACGTGGATCAACAGGCTAGAATAGAGTCAATTTTTATATTTATAGTCAGCTGATTTTCAGCAAGATGCCAAGACAGTTCAGTGCAGAGGTCTTTCTAACAAATGATGGAACAATTGCATATCCATATGCAAAATCCTTATACCTTACCTCACACCCTACACAAAAATCACCTAAAAGGGCAAAATGTTTAAAAGCTAATTACAAGTATACTTCTAGGAGAAAAATCTTTATGGTCTTAGGGAAAGAATTTTCATATGATACTTAAAAGGATGACTTACAAAATAAAAATATTGATAAATTGGATTTCACCAATTTTTTTTTTTTTTTGTACCGGGGATTGAACTCAAGTCCTTGCGCTTGTGCAGCAGGTGGCAAAACCACTGAGCTAAATCCCTGGCCCAAGGATTTCACCAAAATTAAAATTTGCCCCCATGAAAAGATATCGTTAAGAAAATAATCCCTGGTACCCAAAAACAAAATAAAACAAAACAAAAAAAGTAACTTGCTGGGCTGGGCATTTAGCTCAGTGGTTCCACCACCTACCCCATAAGCACAAGGTCCCGAGTTTGATCCTCTGTACCAAAAAACAAACAAAAGAGAAAGTAACTTGCTACCCTGGCTGTCCTCACGATGGCCTGAACTGTGTCCTACATACAGGGTGTACTTTTATCTTGCTTTTTCCTCTTTTCCTTGGCCCAAGCTTGCTCTGCAGAGCCAGTTTTTTCCTCACTCTTCACTTTTACTTTTTCAAACAAATATTACTACCATTAAAAACAAAGCCCAGGCGTGGTGGCTCAGGCCTATAATCCCATTACTTGGGAGGCTGAGGCAGGAAGATCACTTAGTTCGAGGCCAGCATGGCTTACATAGTGAGACCCTGTCTCAAAAAACCACACCGCCCCAAAAAAATAGAAAGTAAAAAGATCAGATGTAAACTGAGAGAAAATACTTGCAAATCATATCTGGAAAAAGGATTTGTATCTATAAACACCTCTTAGAACTTATTAAGACAGACAGCTAGTAGAAAGGGCACAAGATCTATTATTTCACTAAAGAAGAAATATGAACAGCACATGAAAAGATGCTTAACATAATTAATCATTGGGAAAGTACAAATTAAAATCAATGAAATACTATTACATATCCACTATAATGGCTATAATCAAAAAATGTTGAGAATGGATAGAAGATAGAATCTTCATACACTCACTGTTGGTAAAAATACAAGATGATGTAGCTACTTTACCAAAACTTTTTGGGAGTTTCTTGAAAAGTTAAACATGTACTTATCCTACAACCTGGCAGTTTTACTCTGGGATATCTACAAGAGAAATGAAAACGTGTTCACCAAAGATTTATACAAAAATGTTCATAGATGTATTATTTAAAATAACCAAAAAGTGGGACAACTTAAACGTTCATAAAAAAGAATAAAGTACTGATATATGCAACAACATAGATTAATTTCACAAATACTATGCTAAATGAAATAAGCCAGACCCAAAATACTAGAAAATGCAAAACTAAACAGACAAAGCAGAGCAGTGGTTGGCTGAGGGGCACAAATGGATTGAGTACACATGGGCATAAAGGGATTATTTGTTCCAGTGAACCTGTTACAAAACCTAGAGGTAGATGGGCCGGGGATTTAGCTCAGTGGTGCCACCCCCTGCCTCACAAGCGCAAGGTCCTGAGTTCGATCCTTGGTACCAAAAAAAACCAAAACAAGATGTAGTAATGATTGCCCTACCAGGAAAAATCGGTTATACACTTTTAAAAGGTGAATTATAAATGTAAATTGTACCTAAAATCTGTAATAAGTGCTATTAAAATAAATATATGGATTCTGAAAAAAGGGAAATGTGTGTGTAGCCGATTCCATCTTTTTCTCCCCCTCACACATTTATAATTTTAGGATTAAGACAGGAGAAATAAAATCCAAGTCTCCAGCTAATGGACCAAGAAAGTTAGATGACCATAAAAGTATGTATAGTATCAAACTCTTCTTTGTCCCTTCTAGGAACTGTTAGGAAAGAATATTGTAGAATTCTGTCATCCTGAAGACCAGCAGCTTCTAAGAGACAGCTTCCAACAGGTAACTTTTTTTTCCTGGGTTGGATCTTCATATCCATTTGTATGTATTTATCACATTACTCCATGCTTATGTTCACCACTGATTGATTAAGCACTGTGGTAGGCACTACAGTTTTATGTTCTTTGTACTTAGATAATGCTTAGAAATTATGGATGATATCCAAGGAATTTCACTTGTTTTTTTGTTTATTTTTTGAGATAGGGTCTCCCTTTGCAGTTCAGGCTGACCTTGAACTCATTGCAGTCCTACCTCAGCCTCCTAAGTGCTGGGACTACAGGTGTGCGCTATCATGCCTGACTTGTCCAAGGAATTTCCCTTTAGCTTTGCTAATTACTTGCCTAGTTCTAGCCAAGGAACCATCTTCAAACTATTTAAAATATTACAGGATTTAGTGGGCTGTGGATTGTAGTACAAACATTTGTTTTCCAAAATTCTTTTATAGATAATTGGCAGTTTAAAAATATTTGGTAAATTTAATAGACTTTGCTTTAGTTAACAGCTTTTATTAGACAAGTTAATTAATCTCTGTAAGTCTCAGTAATGCCCTTATAGATAGAATAGGTATAATAATAGCACTTATTCAGAGAGTTGTCAGGAAGTTTATTTATTTTTTTTTTGGTACCGGGGATCGAACTCGGGACCTTGCGCTTGGGAGGCAGGTGGCGAAACCACTGAGCTAAATCCCCGGCCCCATCAGGAAGTTTAAATAATGGAAATAAGGCACATAACTCCAGTGGTTGACACATAGTAATATATTTATTTGCTACTATATATATATATTTTTTAACTGTTAGGAAGAATCTTTAAAAGATTACTTTCTGGGGCTGAGGATTTAGCTCCATGGTGCTGCACCAGCCTCACAAGCACAAGGTCCTGGGTTCGATCCCTGGTACCAACAAAAAAAAGATTTCTTTCTGTTTCCTGACACTAGAAACTAATATAATCTAAAATTACTTTTTGTGGAGATTACTTTTATAAAACAAAAGCAAAATAAGACTAAAGCCAACTTAGTTTTATTTGTAGAAAACTCCATGGGTACTGTGAAAATAAATTCTCAGGTGTATGGGAAAAAACTGGGATGAAAGAGCAACACGTAAGCTGTATTCAATGTCATTGAACTTAAATTTCTTGTTTAGATTTGTAAACATAGCTCAGCATTTCTTTAATGGACTTTTCAACAAAAGTGGAGAAAACAGCGTTCTCTCCTGGAAATAATTGTTATTCCTCTTTGACTAGAATGGTCAGATCACATGGGACTCTGGGAAGAAATGTGTTAAATATACTTTGTCCTTATTTATTCACTTAGTTTTTCCTGCCTCGGTTTGTTTGTTTGTTTGGTTTGCTTTCGGGGGAGGTTGGTACTGGGGATCAAACCCAGGGCCTTGTGCACTCTAGGCAAACACTTGTACCGCTGAGCTACATCCCCAGCCTTCTTATGTTATCTTAACATTGAAAAAGACTGGTGCTTCAGGGAAAACAACATGAGAGTCTAGGATTGTAGAAATGGTAAAATTTTTCTTTAAATGGGGGGGGTGCTTTTCTTTTCCCCTGAATTCCACTGATAGCATGAAAACCTTTTTAGGTGGTGAAGTTAAAAGGCCAGGTGCTGTCTGTCATGTTCCGGTTTCGGTCTAAGAATCGAGAATGGCTCTGGATGAGAACCAGCTCCTTTACCTTCCAGAACCCTTACTCAGATGAAATTGAGTACATCATCTGTACCAATACCAATGTAAAGTATGTACCCTTCCTTCCATTTCCAGGGTTGGCATTTTTCATGTGCTAAGTCTGCTTAGTCTTATAAAGCTATCTCCTTTTCCTCTTTTCCAGAACTAAACACTATTAGTTTAAAGTTCCTTCTTTTCCATTTTACAGGATTTGATGTAGTTGATCAAGGTAGAAAAATATTTTAATAAACAGTAATCCAGAGAGTATGTCATCAGATGAAAGGGTTTGCTTATGTTTCAGTGTTAGGGTTTTTTTTTTTTTTTTTAGTACCAGAGATCGAACTTGGGACCTTGCACTTGCAAGGCAGGTGCCGGAACCACTAAGCTAAATCCCCAGCCCCAGTGTTAGGATTTTTTTATAACTAGTTTATTGCTTTAGTCTGGCAGAGTTTTCATCTGGAGCCAGGGTTGGGCAAACTCTTTCTGTAAAGGACCAGGTAGTAAATATTTTAGACTTTGTGGGCCATACAATCTACATTGCACCTACTCAACTCTGGTGTTTCCAGCTTGAAAATACTCATAGAGAAATTAAATTAACATGGCTTTGTTCCGGTAAACCTTTATTTACAAAAACAAGCAATGAGATGGATTTGGTTCATGGACCATGATTTGCCTTAGACCACAATTATATCCCATTACTCTTAGTTTCTGTTCTTTTCTTTTTCAGCTTTTAAAAAATTGTTTTATCGAGATACATTTCACATACTGCACAGTTCACCCACTGAAAGAGTACAGTGTTTTTTAGTGTACTATACAATTATTCAGTAATTGCCATAATCTACAGAGACATGGCAGGGGGTATTACAACCCCAACTTGAAACTATACTACAAAGCTACTGTGATAAAAACAGCATGGAACTGGCAAAGAAAAAGACGTAAGGACCAGTGAAACAGATTAGAAGATGCAGAAACAACTCCAGACACACTCAGCCACCTCATCTTTGACAAAGGAGCTAAACACCCTTACTGGAGGAAAGATAGCCTCTTTAATAAATGGTGTTGGAAAACCTGGGTTTCAACTTGCCAAAGATTAAAACTAGACCTATATCTCTCACCATGCACTAAACTAAAATTGAAATGGATTAAAGATCTAAATATTAAAACAGAAATGCTGAACCGGCTGGAACAGAGGTTAGGTAGAACTCTTTTTTTTT